CCCCAAAACCCCAAAACCCCAAAACCCCATTTGAAATCTTAAATATTGAAAACTAAATTTTGGAAAATTGTGAGTGAAATTAGGATTTAATGGTGCATCTTGTGTGTAGTATCATTAATTTGAACATCTCCCATCTGATTGACAACTTGGTTGTTAGATGTACCTCCGTCTTGGTAAGAAGAAGAGTTTGTGTTAGCATCTTGGATTGCTTCAACTTGTTGTGTCTCTTGAGGTTGGAAATATTGCTCTTGTTGCACTTGTCCCTGAATCTGGTTTTGAATTTTTGCTTCTTCCTTCTTTTTTTCTAGCATCTTCAGGGATTTTTATGCCAAGACTTCTGCGGTAATCATCAAAGATTTTTTTGGTTTTCTGATGCTCTTCTCTATAGGGTTTCTTGGCATCTTCGCTCATGTTTTTCCACATTTGGCCTATGATCTTTGCTACTTCTCCAACAGTCTTGCCTGGGTGTTGCTTCTTAAGAAGAGGCATTGTTTTCTTGTTAAACAACATGTAACAACTAACTGGCTTTTTGATATCATCTGGTAATTCTATTTGAGCCTTCTTGTCTCTCCTCCTTCTCTGAGGCTTTTGGTTTGAGATATCAGCCAACTGGGTCGGCTGGAACTGACCGATTCCTGATTCTGAAACTGTCTGTTGGATATAGTTTGTGATGTCTCTCATTTGGTCTTGAGATGGGATTAAGATTGCCTTTGATCCTCCAGCTTTGAATCTGTCAAAAGTTTGTTTAAGGTCTGTAAAGAAAACTTGAGCTTTCTTAACTGCAGTTCTTACTAAAATTAGTTCTTCCATTAACTATCTTCCCGACTCCTAAACTATAAACCTCTCGGTAAATTCAAAGAACTCTTTTTTCTCCAAAAATTGGTGGTTTTCTTCCAAAAATCACTTTCTAAACATATTGAAAAAATTTTCAAAAAAATCCAAAAATTCAAAATTTCTCAAAACCAGTTCAAAATCCTCTATTTTCAAAACTCTCTTTTCTTCTCTAATGGCTATACCTTAAGCTAATCTCTCGCTTTAATCCCTAAAAGAGGGTTCTAGGCTAGCTTAGATACTTGAACTACAAGTTTTAAGGATTTTAGACTGATTTTAAAGGGATTTTGAAGAAGTTGATGACTAGGATTAGGGATATTTGGAATTTTGAGAAAGGACTGGGAGTGAAGAGAGGAGAATGGAGTGAGCTTGAGGTGGAAGGGGTGAATGGGGTATGGGTTTAAGAGGTTTTGAAGTTAATTTTGAGAATTATATGGAGGAAAGTGTTTGAAAGAGTTTAGAGTTTGTGATTTGATGAGATTATCTTTGATTCTGCCTTTTATGTTGGAATGGCCTGTGTGTTCAATTTAAGGATTTTTATGAATTTTGAATTTGTTTGAGCAGCTAATGATTTTATACTCATCTAGAAGAATACACACATGAGTTTGAAATAGCTTTTAGATTTATTTCTTTTTCTTTAAATATTCAATCATCCTAGCCAATTTTCTTCAATAGTAGGGAAAATTTCAATCCGTCATCATATTTGTCTTAATCTTATCTTAAGAACTAGAATAAGTGTAAAGCAAGATCCTCCAATACCCAGAAGAGAATTTTTGATCAGAGAAAATATCAACTAAACTTTTAAGATTTAACAAAAGTGAATTTTAAGAAAATTTATGCTTAAATTTCTTTTGGAAGTGGCTAGCAAACATTTTTGTCAATTTTAAGCTCTCAAATAAAATTCTCTAGAAAACCAATTCAAACACTCCAACTCTACCATCTCAACCTCTCACCAGCAATCCCACCTCAAGTCCTCCTCAACCCTCTTATCTTACATCTCCCTTCCCCAAACAAAAGCAAATTCAATTTCCCTCTAAGCCAATTCCCAGATTCCCCAAATCTCCTAAAAAGAGGAGGAACCTTCCAAGCGATCCCTCCTCCTCCAATTCCTCAAATTTTGGTTATGCCACATAAAATTCAATAAAACTCCAATAACGTGGGGTTTTGGGGTTTTGGGGTTTTGGGGTTTTGGGGTTTTGGGGTTTTGGGG